CACATTTACGAGAAGTCCTATGCTAGAACGGAATGGCCATCCAGTGGTTCCATGTTTTCATTTGTGTTTTCGCAAGTATCAACTTGTGATTCCAGCTAACAAAAATTCTACAATCTCCACCGATCCCCTGTGTTGACAATAATGGTATTTGTTGGTCAAGATAATCTACTGATATTCACTGTTTTCTTTTTGAAAACTTCAATGCGAAGACAAAGTTCATCGGAACTGTACGTTATATTGAGACAAAACTCTTCAAACAACGTAATCACAGGTTTACTTGTTAAGACATCTATGTAACGAAAACATGACCAGTTGAGCAAATTATAAGAAAGTGGAAAAGATGGTAAAAAGAGATAGTAGGGAAAGAAAAATGACCCCATCATTAGGTAGAGCAAATGAAAGTTGACACGGTAGGTTTGATTTTAGTGCAAAATATTTTTGAACAAACATGGGGGTTTGGACCCTTATATGTCTCAGAAATCAACAAACCTGTGTATTAGGGTTAGGGTACCTTTATAGACGCCCAAAAATCTGAACGAAGACCTATTTTGTGTCTTGTTTTGGCTGTATGATAAGCAGTGGGGAAAGACGAGTGTTCGTAATCTGTTCTCATTGAGTCATTTGAATCTATCCTGTTTTTCAGCTATTTCGTTGCTTATTCAATCCTCCTAACCCGCAAACCACGACTACTCCTCTTCATATGAGTAATCTTATACATTTAAGTTCATAAATAGACCTGTTAATCTTAAGTGAAAAGTAGCATCATAATGAATAAAACTTAAATTTTATAAATCTTGTTTGACAAACCACAAATTTTCTTATAAACTGCAACCGAATTTCTCAGATCTTATTCGATGTAATAAACGAAGTTGTCGTGAAAATTCGAATAAATTCATCGAACTCCACATTTGTGTATCATCTGTATCATCAGAAATGTCTTGGGAATTACATGAAATTCTTGAATATCTATAGTACTATCGTAACAATGAAAGAAATGGTGACTCATAAATTGAGAAAATCTTGTGGTGACTACAATCATGTTAATTCATTTACTACTAGTCTCAACAAATATGTGATCAATATATCTTTCATCGTAATTTCTGATGACAAACAGAAGGAGCTTCCATTTCAGTTTAATTCTTCTGTGTAAATGACATGAGTTCCTGATCTGCTAATCAATCTTTAATCTGAAGACCTCTGTGTCCAACTAATTACACCTATTACGACGTCTTTGGACAGCCAACGGTATTGTCAAAATAACTTAGTGGATAAAGTTCATTAATTCCAGGGTTTCATAGGACTCCCTGTAATTTTACAAACCACTTACGCAGATCATTGTCTGATGATTTGAGTTCTTTTTATTCTTCAAGTAAACAAGTATTTTTTAAATATTTCTTCCACAAATTGTTGTCTTATTACCTTCAAATCAACTACATAGATTATATTCAATATTTGAAATAATTGGTTATTTTTGGAAAATTTGTCAAATAACTCAGTATTCCTCTCTGTTTTGATAGATTAGACAATGGAAAATTAACTGTCAATAGGATTGTGAAGCTTAAATAAATGATATGGTCTAACAATATGTGGTTTGTTCAATTGTTTTTATTCATTAGCGACCTTATGAGTTTTTTTATTTATGTCACTTACACAGAATTTTGACCAAACATTTACTACAAGAATTCACTTTTTAGCATTCAGTGAGATCCGTAGGAAGTCGACTGAATATATTATTTACGTAAACATAACCACTGGATAGCATTCGGCTACTTTGATTGTCAAAGTAACTCTTTTCAGTTCTAGTCAATAAACACGCATTCCTAAAGACAGATACTCTGCGATTCGGGTCCACAAGTGTAGAGAGCCGGGAAAATTGACTGAAAGCTATGTTCTACAATACCAAGAACTCACGCAGTGAAACAAGACCCGTCTCAATATAGCAAACGAATCACCCATTGAGATACTGAAATCTGAACAAATACTCATCTCGTTTTACCTCTACATCTGTTTGCCAGTTTAAATGTATTTTTTGGATCACATGTCAAAACAAGAGGTGAGTTATAGTCCATTTAACCCTAACTGGCCAACACGGTAACAACTAACATTAAAATTTCCCGTCATCTAATTGATAGCAAACGCAATGTTGAAATTCCGAAATTATTAATTAGCGAATGGCTTCCATAGTTTTACCAAACCCATAGTTATCGAAGATCTTGAACCGGGTATAACCATTCTTTCGATGCCTAGATTACCTTAGTTTACTATTATCTCATTTTGTCTTCGCGATGACTACTTCACTTTATCGGGTCTGATTTGAGCCCCGCCCATCTCAACCATATGAACAGTTCTTTTTCGTAGTTGTTATTATGTAATTTTTACATTGGAATTTTGCATCAGCCTTTTTCCATATCCTTCAATAAGTTTCCTTCTATAATTTTTACATTTGTTCACAACCATATGAATATAGTCTTTACACGTGTTTTTCATACCTGTCGTTCTTTGTATAGAACGTTATTGGTGAGTACTTCTTTAATGAAGTGCATGTGAACCATTTTGTCTTCAAATAATTATTACTATTATTTCGAGGGTATAGGCAAATGAATGTAGTCTAATGAGTGAATAAATTCGGATTTTTCTTTTTTGGTCTTTGTGCTTCCTTTATTCAAGTCTGAAGGTGCAAAATTTATGTGAAAACAAACTTATTTGGACAATACTGTTGGTGAAAACTGAACTGTGTTTCGATACATTGATGTAGCTAAGTCCAACAGAGACACCGAATTACTTTATGTCATCGCTTAGCTGATACTTATTTAAGGAGAAATCCTCCCGGTATATTTTGGGTTAAATTTTGTTGGACAAATAACTTTAAATTTTCTTCATACCTAGTACTGACGAGATGCAACATTATGAAGCTACATTTTATTTTTTGATTGGTTATGAAGAATGATATTTAGAAATACTTATCACTTACTTACTTACGCCTGTTACTCTCAATGAAGCACAGGCCGCCGACCAGCTTTCTCCAACCCACTCTGTCCTGGGCTTCCTTTTCTAGTTCTATCCAGTTCTTGTTCATTCTTCTCATGTCTGTCTCTATTTCTCGGCGTAATGTGTTCTTTGGTCTTCCTCTTCTCCTTTGATCTTCAGGATTCCATGTGAGGGCTTGTCTTGTGACGCAATTAGGTGATTTCCTCAAGGTGTGCCCAATCCACTTCCAGCGCTTCTTCCTGATTTCTTCCTCTACTGGAATCTGGTTTGTTGTCTCCCACAGTAACTTGTTGCTGATAGTGTCTGGCCATCGGATCCGAAGTATCTTGCATAGACAGCTATTAATAAACACTTGTATCTTCTGGATAATGGCTTTCGTAGTTCTCCACTTCTCCGCCCCATACAGTAGAACTGTCTTGACATTTGTATTGAAAATTCTAACCTTGGTGTTGATCGACAATTGTTTTGAGCTCCATATGTTTTTCAGTTGTAGGTATGCTGCTCTTGCTTTGCCGATCCGCGCCCTCACATCTGCATCTGATCCACCGTATTCATCAATGATGCTGCTCAGATAATGTAAAGGTTTCCACATCTTCCAAAGCTTCTCTGTCAAGTGTAATTGGATTGGTGCATATTGTATTGTATCGGAGAGTCTTGCTTTTCTCTTTTTTAATATTGAGACCTACTGCTGCTGAGGCTGCTGCTACACTGGTCGTTTTCTCCTGCATTTGTTGTTGCGTTTGTGATAGAAGAGCCAGATCATCCGCGAAGTCTAAATCGTCCAGCTGCATTCTGCCTGTCCACTGTATCCCGTGATTTCCTCCAGACGTTGACGTCTTCATGATCCAGTCGATCACCAGGAGAAAGAGAAAGGGTGAGAGTAAGCAACCCTGCCTAACACAGGTCTTTACTACAAACGAGTCGGTGAGTTGTCCTCCGTGGACGATTTGGCAGTTTAGTCCATCATAGGAGTTATGTATGATATTGACTATCTTCTCAGGCACGCCGTAGTGTCGAAGAAGACTCCATAGTGTTGTCCTGTCAACGCTATCAAATGCTTTCTCGTAGTCAATGAAGTTGATGTAGAGTGATGTATTCCATTCGATTGATTGTTCCACAATGATACGTAGTGTTGCAATTTGGTCTGCACACGATCTATCCTTACGAAATCCAGCTTGTTGATCTCGAAACTAGGCGTCTACGGAATCCTTCATCCTGTTTAACAATACTCTGTTGAAGACTTTTCCTGGTATTGAGAGAAGAGTGATGCCCTTGTAGTTGTGGCACTTGCTGAGATCGCCTTTCTTTGGTATCTTGATCAGAAGTCCTTTTTTCCAGTCTACTGGTATTTGTTCTTCATCCAAAACCTTACTGAAGAGGATGTAGAGTATCTTTGCAGTCGCTGCTAGATTTGCTTTCAGTGCCTCTGCCGGGATGTTGTCTGGTCCCGCTGCTTTGCCCCTCTTGATTTGTCTGATGCGGTATTAAATTATCAGCTTATACGCATACGAGAATTCACAAATAGGCAAATTATTCACTAAACCATCTTAACACTCTAGAAGACTTTCGCTTCCTATTCGATAACTGTATGCATAACTCTCGAATGTTATGTTATTAAATCAATAGCAGTACCCCACTTCTGTAGATAATTTCCTCAACAAGTCTCTATATGCATATCGATCTAAATTTTTATAGTTTGTCGGTTGTACATATATGGTAGTTCACCTAACCCTACATTAGTATATAACTCCGGAGGAATCTGATGTTTTTTCGTTAACGGCGTGGGAAACCTATCATTTCATACGAAGGAAAGATCTCAATAAACTGCAACAATGAGCTATGACATCAGAATCACATGTACGTTTACTCCTAGTCTGCCTCAGTACTATATATATATATATATATATATATATATATATATATATATATATATGTTGTAAGAGGTAGCTCGAAGAATAATTGAATCGTTCTGCTAAAAGCACAGTCAGAAATTTAATAACTTTACATTGATTACGGTGTGCAGAGTTTATTGAAAGAGATGAAACACAAAATCGAATATTCCTCACGTAAGATAAACTCCAATGTATACAAAAATAATGAGTAAATATTTTCCGGCTGTTTTGAAAATTAAAGTGTTTTTCGCCTAATTTTTTAATGGTTGTTTTCTGTTTATTTTTTCATTGGGAGTTTTCGTTATGTCATTCTATTCATCATCGCCACGCTTTATAGCCAATAGAACACATACTGCAAATACTAGACAAATCATTTGGACCAATGCGAACAGAAACGCGCTAACTATGATAGCATTGAGGTGCGCTTTGCTTAGATCGCTGACCTTTTTAATGCATCCCTAAAACGAAGAAGAATATTGAAATAAGAAAATAATTATTATTCCACAAAACAAATCCAATTCGCTTTATCATAAGTGAGATGGACTACGGACAGTGTAAAAAGAATACTTGTCTCACTATGGTTTTCTCTTTTAGAGGTCCCTATTTATATTCACCCTTTGCTAAATATTTTAGATCACACGCACGTTCGATATCTCAATATGACTACTAGTTTATTTCTCTTTACGCACTAATAGTAATATCATATTTAGAGCGTAGGATTTTTAGAATGAGTTAGAAAATTATACGGCTTAATGAGGCTAACATTCTTGATTTTGTAAGGTATTAGTGACAGTATCCCGAAATCGAAAACTTTATATACATTCATAGCTTGTACAAAACATCTATAACTTGCAGTACTTGATATCATAGAACAATTTATGTTTTATAAGAGTCTGTAACATATATAAAGGGAGCTTTGAGATTTTCTCTTGCAGTGATAATTGTTTTCTGTAATTACCGCGTAGAAGAGTTATAACGAAAAATTATCCTGTTTGTACTATATATCAGAAAAAAATTGTTGTATTTTAGACCACAAATTCTAAGAGTAACTATCAAAATATAGAAGCGGGTGAATTCAATAGTCATTTCGGTTTATTATTTAGATATATATTCCATCAGTTAGGGTTTAGATTAACACTATACAAAAGATTGCCAAAAACTCATAAAGTTTTCATAAACTTCCTACTTGTCGAACAGCAGACAGTATGAATTTAAAAACAGTTATTTGTGATCGAAAAAACTTTCCGGAGAATCAAGAGCTCGATGAAATTTAATGACAACAAGACCCGCTGGGTTTCATTGAACATTAAGGTTTTGATATTCATCAGAAATGTCAGTCTTTTGTCTGTCAGAAAAGTACGATATGAATCAGTTATAGAGTCTTGGACTGGAAAATAAAAATCACCAGATCACTATTGAAAACATTAAAAAGGCTCCCTTTACTTATGATTTGGATTGCCGAGTTACATAGAGTGATCACGAACTGCTATACAGCATCAAGCAGATGATAGTTAAACATGTCGGGAAGTAGAGATTCGTTCTGATTTCGGAGCTGCATGAGAAGATTTCAACACATTATTTAACTGGTCAGAGATACGGCAAAATTTTAACAGTTTAGTTTAGTGCATATTTGTATAGATGATAATAATTACAAAAACAGCTATAAATCCCCGCTGGTTCTTCTTGATCATAGTAATTTGTTAGTTGTAGCAAACTGTGACTTCAAAACCACTACCCACCACCATTTAATTCTATATAAAGATTTTAATGCATTATGGGAGATGACGAAGTTCAGAAACAAAGAGAAAAGCATTCATATCACGCTTTGTGGAGTGGTATACAGATTCAAACAAGAAAAGTACATGAATTTCGAACGCTTATCCTCGAACGACATGTTGGGGTTTTTTTCAAAAACGATTCAATGGACTGATTCACACACAGTTACCAAAGTTTCAAGTTAGTTGGTGAAAAGCATAAAACCCTTAGATTCATCTACCATGCATAAGAAGGTGGCTTGATTGTGACGCATAATTAGAAATTATTTAAAAACCTATTACCTTCCTTTTTCCTCCACTAGTCAACCCTCAAAATGTCATATAATGAGGTGATTTAGAAGGCGAATGAAATAAGACGTTCGAGATAAATACAATTTTTTTCCGTAGAGATAGCAATTCTTGGAACATGCTATAAGAATATCCGGTTCCTGCCTCTCAGATTCACTTAAGTAGAATGAACACTATAGATGTGGGGACTAGTTCTAGGAAAGAGTGGATGTATTATAAACTAGTTCTCTAACGCAAAAATCTGAGGGTTTTGGTCTGAGGTGGTTTTCCGCATGTGAGTTATTGGGCTAACAGACTACTTAATCTTGGTCATCTAATACTCAGTCGTATTTTGGTGCTAGTGTGAATGACCATCTCCCTGCAGAAACCTGGTTGAAAATGATCTTTAACTAATACAGCTTTTGATATATCTTGAACTTTTCCCAGTAGATTATCAAATTCATACATGATTCAGTGTTATAATTAATGTAGTTTTTTGACATGAACATTTGGTGTTTGCTTGTTCTAATTCTGCTACATTTTTTATTCCTCAGACTTGTTAAATACTTAAAAGTAAGCCACAACTATCAAAAATCAAGCAAAATCACAAACAGAATATAAGCCTCTGGAGCGTAAATAAAAGCTTTATATAAATCTACCTCTTCAAATAATTTGCCGTCTTTTGTACATGATTCCGGTGGTGGAACGCCATAATCTGCTGAAGAGTCAGCGCCACAGCATTGCAACTAAATAAACATGTATGATGAGAATAACATCTCACTTTTTGTTGGATTTCATCAATAACTTTTTTAAAATATTTGTCACGATAGTACTCATGTACAAATTTTCTTAATGCATCAGTGACGTGTTTTTTTACCTATAACAATGGTGTTTACAAGTTAACTCTTACCTTGGGCTTTTCTACTATAGCAAATATGCCTGCTGCTATTTCAGCAACTATTAAAATTGATAAAAGAATACAATACTACAAGGACAATAAGTTTTCATAGTTTACGTTACCGTCGTTAATAAACAAACATTCTTTGTGCATGCGCCAAACATTCCTAAAGCCCCCAAAACCAATAAAAAACATCCGAGAACAATAATGAAGATAATAAGAGATTGTAGTGGAGGTTCAATTTCTCTCCAGTGATTTACAACAGAATGCAGTCCAAGCGCACCAACCACAATCAGCCCGAGACCACATATCTATTTATCTTTCCGAAACTCAGGATAGAACTTACGAATGCTCCACAGTTGAAAATAATTAGCAAACACTGCAAACACTTATACCCACAACCAAGAGCCATGTTCTCAACGTACGCGTGATAACTTACCACACCCTTAAATATTAGTTAGGAGGGATAACGTTATTTATATACGGTAAAACAAAGTGCGTGGTACTTAACAGACAACTGAACACTGAAAGCATGGTTACATGTACATTAAATAAATTTTGTAAACGTAGTAAAATTTCATATCCTTCTATTTTAAAATGGTTCTAGATGGAATATATGTCGCTTAACTGGCTTCCGAATATAGTAGAAGTGGATAATCGATGCCTCCAAGTAGGAACATTGATACATTTTAAATGGTTCAAATGGTTGAGGACGGAATAGAATAAGCTTTCGCTTAATGGGCTTCTGTGTCTAGTAGCAGTAGATCACCAATACCTTCAGGCAAGAACCTAGGTATATTAACGATAGTAGAGGAAAAAAGAGAATTTGGTAAATAATAATAATATGTTATCCTTAGTCTTTACGAAACAGTTTCAGTTTCAGTTTGGAAAGGCAGGAGGCTTGATGGCCTGCGTTAGTCCTGGCAATGATGGTCTCTCAGCTGATCCAACTTTCTTTTGAAGAAGTCGACGGATGGAGCCTCAACCACGTGCTGAGATAATGAATTCCACTCGTTGATGATTCGATGGGAAAGTCCGTAGTCAGTTGACCAGTAATTCGTTCTGGGCTTGTGGACTTTTTTGTAGTGTCCTCGTAGATTTTCTGTTTTGGAAGACAAGAAAAATGAGGGCATATCAAGTGCACACTTATCACTAAGCAATTTGAAAACTTTAATTAAGTCGCCTCTGATTCTTCTATATGACAGCGGGAATAGGTTTAGCTTGCTCAGTCTAGTATTGTACGGGAGCTTCGCTATTCCGGGAATCAGCCTAGTTGCTGTTCTCTGAACCCTTTCCAAGAGTTCAGTCTTTTTTTAGGCAGGAGCTAGCTGCTTGTATGTAGTACTCAAGTTTAGGACGTACGAACACTGTATGCAAAGTCAGAAACGTTTTAGCGTCAAGATGCCTAAAAGCCCTACGTATGGACCGTAAAGTCCTAAAACCTTTGGCGGCTATTGCACGGCAGTGTGCATTAGTCTTTAAGTCTTGACTAACGATGACGCCTAAGTCATTGTGTGCCTGGACAATAGGTATCTGTACCCTGGTGGTCAATATGCATCACAATACACTTGGGAGTGTTTATCGGCTATTGCCAGGTTTGGGACCATTCAGATAATCTCTTCAGGTCATTTTGGAGTTCCAGGCTATCGCCCTTGCTTTGTATCGCTCTCCATATCTTGACATCGTCAGCATAGAGTAAGATTGATGACGATAGTAGACGAGGGAGGTCATTT